CAAATGTCTGGAATAGCGGTGATTCTGAAGATGATGAGGAGGACTGAATTATTTATATGTCTGTAATATGTGTTAGACTATGTGCTTTGGACTTAAGATTTGTGATGTGTTGTTTATTTTTATGTTTGGACTTGAGGCATGTGTTGTGATGTGTTATAAATTATGTAGTCTGGGCTTGCTACATTTGCATTTGTGTGTTTATTTGGATTATGTGATGGTTTAGACTTATATTTAATTGTTATTGTGATGTTTGTATTTTATTAGTATTTTGTTTTAAATTCTAGGGTAGTAACTGTTGTTGTGTGTTTAGTATTGTGTTGGTTAGTTAAGGATTCAATTTAATCCTATCTCTTTTGGAAAGTTGAAAATCTTGCTAACCTTAGTTTTACATTTTAAACTTAGAAAATTGCCACCCTGTATTTTTCTTTTATCTTGTTCGTGTGCTTGTTTTTATGTTGAGACCGTGAAGTCACAATTAGTGTGCTTGTTTGTTTTTATGTTTGTGTCTACTATTTAGAAGTCTATTGAATCTCTACACGTTAAATTAAGATGAAAACGATAAAAAAATTGATCAAAATTAATTTTACTCCTGTTTTTAGTTTTATACTTGTATACTTAGGATATAAAAATTCCTGTAAGCATGTTATTTCAATTTTTATTTATGCTTATATATATCTGATGCTAAACTATTTATTCTATAAAAAATTTAAGTTTGGGGGATGAAAAATATTTTCAAAACTTGAATTTTATTTTTTCTCAAATGTGCTACAAGTGACTTTGATTTGAAAAGAAAAATGATCATGCATATGAAGTTATACTAGGGAAATAAAATTTGATTTTAGAAATAAGTAAGAGAATTTAGTTGAAACTTTCAGTAATAAAGAAAAACTTTCAATTAAAAGTTTTTAGTGTAGAAAATATTTAATATAGAAACTATTTGCAAAACTATTTGCAGTAAGAAAAAATTGTATTTTTAAAAAATTTAGAAATTTAGACTTTTATATTTAATACTTAAATTTCTTTTAAAAAATAATTTTTAAAATTATTATTATATTTATAAGTGAAAGATTTATATCAAGATTTTGCTTTAGGAAAGGAGAAGTAGAATTCAAAATTATTAAAAGTCCATCTAGATAAAATAATCATTGCCTGAAAAAGAAAAAGAAAATAAAAAGAGAAAGAAAAGAAAATGAAAAAAAGAAAAGCATAAGGGAGAAGAAGCTTGAAAATTAGTGTTTAATCAAAAATTAGTACCACATTTGAACTTTTTAAAGTATAAGACTTGAGAAAATCTTAAGCTTAAAAATATAATATAGTAAGTAAAATTATTTAAAATAAAAATTTTTAAATAGAGATAATAAATAAACTAAATTCTAAATTTTGAAAATATACAATATTTCTGAATTAGATAGGAACTCATATTTTCATATTTCTTAACATTAAAAATTTCTAAAACTTGAAGTTGGTCTCATTTACTGAATATTTTTTTCTAAGTTGCACTAATATATTTCTAAATCTAAATTTAAGTAACTCCTAAATAAACTCATATAAACTCATATACATATCATACTTTAAAGATTGAAGTGTCACTTGAGGACAAGTAACATTTTAAGTTTGGGGGATTTTGATACACCATTTGGGGGATTTTGATAC